CTACAGTTTGATACCAAAGTTGTTGACATAAATTCATGAAATAGTAATTCAATAAAATTTTGAATGAGATGACATGGCCTTTCACCCACAACCCGTCTCGAAAGGTTTATAATAAGTATAAACTCGTGACCAGTTAATTTGGTTTTAGAAACTTAATACTGTCACCACAGAATGAATTCTTGCTGTGTAGCAAGTACAATCATTTAGTTTGTGTTGTGATATCCAACCATTGTTATGCAGTGCAGTATGTGGTAATTTGAACTGTTAAAAAGTGTCTTACTAACTTAGGTGTTAAGTCTTTGGATAAGTTGCTAGAATACTTGCTGGGTTTGCAAGTGATACCAAGTTGATAAAGCTCAGTTCACTAAGTATAATTTCCTTCTGTGTTACATGTCTAATGTAATCCAATTAAATTTGTTTATTGTTTTGCAAGTGTACTGTTACATGTATCTAGCTTGCAGATTTAAGAGTGAAACAAACATTTAGTAGCATTTTATCACAGAAAGTGTAGTATTCTGCATCTATGCTTTTGAAGAAGAAAAAATTAGTTCCTCAGTATTTCACTGATTTTTGAGGTCTTTGTGCTCAGCATTTTCTGCTTCCAAATGTTGCTGCTGTGCCTGTATAACAATATAAAAATATTGACTGTTTATGGAGGCCAAAGGCCAAATAGAATAGCTGTTGGTCACTCTCACTCCCAAGGATAACACATAACTTGTTGCCCAATATCACCAGTCAATAATTGTTTTATTCTACCCCCCTGTTTTCATTTCTACTACAATCTGTTTAATTAGTGTTGTCACATAGTGTATTTAACCTATATCTCAGGGCATAGATATAAATCTTCAAGTTTAAGGTTTCGTTGAACATTTTTAGCCCATTTTATGAAATTTCAATATGCTCTGCCAATTATCAATTCAGACATGATTAAGATTTTACTAGTTTTATAATTAAAAGTGTTTCATTATCTCGATATATGCAGTTGCAATTTGTAGGCCTATTCACCTGTATATGCCACTACTGATAACATGGTTATGAAGGGCATAGTCCTATTTTGTAGGAAATTATAATATTTATATTAAAAAATAATTAACTAACTAAGGATTAGGCCACACTAATTCAATAAATTTATCACTGAAAATTAGATTGCAAAAAGGATTGTACCTTCATGTGTTTATGAATTACAATAAATGTATAAAGTATGCACCTGTATAACATCAGCATAAAATTTTCCTAGGATACTGGTGAGATTTCTGACATTGTCATCTACACTCACTCACCATGCAGTGCAGTATTCCTTGAATATTTTCACAGCTACTTTGTTTATATTTTTAGTACTTTTACTGTCCTATTTATCAATGAAATTCTCCAGTTTTTCACCTGTAACTGAAATACTATGTCATATGTTGACATTCATTTTTGAGTTTCAGCAAATTGGATCAGGATGCTTTCACTGTGCTACCAAAAAAAAACTGGCATCTGTATGTCCTGCTGCAAAATTATTCGTGAATGACAACTGGTCAACAGTCAAGCATTTTGTTGACCAGTTTTTCAAGGCAACATTTCAAATATTTCATAACATATGTTGCAGTCAAGGTGAAGAATTCATGCTAGGGGTAGAACAAAAAAAATATTATTGGTTGAAGAATAAGAATTCCACCTAAATTAACAGTCCAGTGAGTGTTCATATTTTGTTTGAAATTTAATCTCCAAACTTGCTCAGTTATTTTTGATATTGATTGGATAGTTTCATTCTTTTTATATTAATGGAATGTTTATATTGTACTACTTTGAATATTTTGTGTTCTAATCATATGAATAAAGTTGCTATTTTTTCAAATCAGAGATTTTAACATTAGGACACATGATTGTAAGATGATTAAGATTTATTAATGTCATTGATTTTATCTTTTTGCTATCCTCAAATCTAATTTTCTGTAGTTCTAAAATGTTGTTAGACCCCTAACTTGAGTTAGCTATATTTTGAAGGCAGTGACACATTTTTTACTTTAACTCATGCTTTCATTCCCATTTATTTTATTTGAAATTAAGCTTAATTTTTCAGTTTTGTTCTAATTTCCACAAGTTCAACTATTGAAACGTATTTCTTATACAAAACATTTTTTACAGCTTCCTGAACTTGGCACTAGTTCTACTCATCTCAAGAGTCATAATAGTCACCAGCTAGTTATCCAGTTTTTAGGGATATCAGTTGGTGCATCCATCATGTTGCTTATTGCTGTCTATGAGCATGATTTGATGCAGATTCTCAGCTGACCTGACCAAAAAACGTTTTATTTGAATTCCACTTCTTAACCCAGTGGTAAAACAGATTCTAAGATATAAATGAATTTAAGAGCTTTTTACAGACCATGTTGAAATGTAGCTTAGCCATTTGTTTGAGCTTAATTCAATGCAGATATTATGCTTATATGAGCAACAAAAAGTTTTATTTAGATACCTTTGCCTACCATGATAGAAAAACAGGTTATAAAACAATACGGTATTCTGAAGGCCGTGCTCAAGAAAAAAAAGAAGACAACCTGCATTTATATATTAATGTTATTTGCCACAAACAGTTTTGAAATCTCTTACTTTCTTCAGGTTTTATACGTAGTTTAGCTGTCAGCCAATTCAATTAATAAAATGCAGTTCACTAAGAAAGAAACTTTTGCATGTATGAGATACAATCATTGTAAAGAAAATATGAAATATTGCATTTCACAGTTATGTACCCGTAAAAGTTTATTTTTAGTGGGAAATTGTTTCAATTTAACAAGTTTGTAATAATTGATGTTATTAGTAGCGATTCAAGTTTCCTCAATTTAAGTTACTATGCATTAAATAATATATTTTTCCTAGCAGGTTTTCTGATTTATTTTATGGTTCTATTGTATTTCAGACATAATTATAAAAGTAGTTATTCTTGCAATTTTTTATGTCAAAATGCATTTTTGATATATTTGACTATTGTTAGAGCCACTGGTGAGAGGTAAAAAGTGTATTTCTTTATTATGTTGCATTTGGAGCAAGCCAACAGGAGTTATTTGTTAACACCTACTCAATTATTTAAGTTAAATTTTACATTTGCACAGAGGTACGATATTTAAATTAATTTAATATTTTTATTTGTTTCACAGTTTTTGTCATTAATATTTCTTGTCAAGTAAGTAGGGTTCTATTAGAAAACACTTTCTAGGCTATGTTGTTTTCAGCAATTGAGAAACTTGGAAAGACACCCATTTTCCATTATACACTGTATTTTGGGTAGGGTTGAGCTGAACATTTTTTTTAGAATGATACTATGTCAAACACCTTGGAAATCATTTATATCCTGAAATATTACAATGCAATTTTCTTTCTGTGTTGTTTGTCTTGTTTTGGAGTTTTTGTCAGATTAACTTTAAAGTTATATTCTTTGCATATATTTACATTTTTTTTGAGTGTTAGGGCATATTTGATAAATGATAATTAGTTAGTGTTTCAATTTATTTGTAATAGATACAAAAATGCCAGTGTGTTTGCTTTTTTTAAGATAATGATGTCTTTAAAATACACATATTATTTTGTTCGTGATAAGTTTTAAAGCAAGGTGTTGTCTATAAGATTAATTTACAACACAAGTTGTTGAATGTAAAGCACCTTAGCAGGCTGTTTACGTGTAATAGTAATATGTGGGTGATATCACATCACACTAAGGCTGATACAAGCTTCCCATTTATACATTATTGATGGGTTCATTTGTCCTACTGGTATCAAAATATTGAGGGTCAAACATAGGATGTTACTAATAATATATATAATGATATGTTATTTTCTCAGATGAAAACATTTGTTAAAAAAATACATTTTGAATTTTTGATACTCCAATAATCCACAAAATGTTAAACACAAGGGTGAGAACAGTAAATGAAACTTCTGTCTTGGCCTTTATCCCAGCCCATAAAAAATCTATGGTTCTAGAAGCCAGATAGGCTAGTGTGCTCTCTGGTACATTCTAGGACATTTTGGACTAAATATTGAAACTACTTATTGCTACTTTAATTCATGTTCTAATGAGCAAAATTACAGACTGGCCATTTCATGAAATGTTTAAGATAGGTATTACATACAAATGTTTATAATTGCAATGATTAGATCAGTTAAATAAAACCTGGTCATTTCCTGAAATATTGAGGCAATACTGTACAAACTAATTTTACTAGAACTAATTACTGACCAATCATTTAAAAACCTTAATCATTTTCCTGAAAACACTTAGGCACAATTACATAACGTTGATTGATTTCTTGTGCATTTGAAATTCCCTGGTCTCATTATTTCATCTTCTCATGTATAACATAACTTGTGAGACTGAAAATATTTTTGTAAGCTGTTACATTTAATATGTTCCCATTTGTAACAAAAATCCCTTAATTATTGAAAACAATTTTTCAAATTTTGTCTCATACTTGCTCCATCCCTAACTTTCACTGGATTTTATATATCTATATCCATTTTAGGCTCCATCTAAATGCTTTAATGTATAGAAAATAGTGTTCACTGAAAGAAAAATGTCTATTCTGAACAACTATGTGGAAATCACACATCAAAGGTGGATGGTAAAACATATTAAGGCCTACCTTTATGCTGATCCTTTTGAATTGTCCATTGTGGCACTGTAAGTTCTTCAATTTTTGATGTATTTGGCTTCAAAATTTTTTTTTGCAGTTGATAGTCTGCTCCTCAATTAGCCAAGAGTCTGTATATCAATTTCTCTTTAGCATAGACTTAATGCAGATAAAGCAAACTTTAGTCAAGCACATTAGTAGTAGTATTTTGTTTTATGGTCCCAGACCCCCCCCTTCACACACACACACACACTATTTTTCTCACCAGATTGGAACAAATTGGGTGGATGGACAATTTGACAAGAAAAATTACTATCATGACACTAGTGTAATGAAACAAGCATGCTGACCAGTAAAGATCATTACTAAATAGCAGAAACAGATTACAGGTATTGAATGGGAGAAGTTATAAAGGTACAAGTTATTTGATCACAAAGCAAAGTATTTGATGATCACTGGGGTTTGATTGTTGTTAAACATAGTTATCTTCAAAGATTTGGGTCAGTCGACCCTTTATAACAAAATTGTACGAGTTTTCACTTAAACTATGCTTGTACAAATGTCCAGCATAGACAAGGTTTTGTTTGTTGAAATGCTATTATACACACTTCTTAACTAGAAATTCAGATTGATCCAGTAACAAATTGTATGGTTTAAGTGGCTGTCAGTCCTCTTGTGATGTGATAAGCGCATTTTATTACTAAAGATGTTTTGTTGCTAGGGGCCATACATAACAATGTAGATGAATTTATACTTTTGATTCCTACAGAAGCAAGCCAAATTAACTGACTATGATAGTTAAGTTCTTTAAAATAAAACTACCAAGTAAGAGAAATATTAACCTAAGATTTGCTGTAAAGTGTGTTTATAAAGTTGCTTCATCCCTTCTTCATTAAATAAATTTTTGTGCTTTATTTTGAGATTGAAAAGTTTAGGAATTGCAGTTAAAATGTTGAACATATTTTAAACCGTATATTAAGTGTTGTTCATGCTAAATAGAAAAAAAAAGAATACAGCCATCATCACAATTCATGTCACTAAAAATCAGAACAGTAATATCCGACTTTTCTTCATTCCCAATTTTAATACCCCTGATAAACTGAAGTTAAAAAACAATTAAAATTGGCAAGAAAATACACACAGAAAAAGAAGATCAATGAAAGCATATCATATCTGCACATAAACACCCATTAGTGGTTTTTATACTCTGGTGATCAGCATCTTCTGTGAGAGGTTGTGTATAAAATGTTAATAGAATCTTGTTAATTATGTTAGCAAATATTCTAGAGTGTAATTTTTTTCCCCACTTTGGTAGAAAAACCAAGAATCAAACAAGGAAACACAATTACTAAGTTGTTAGAGAACCCAAAATAAAACACATAATTAAAGATATATTTGTCACTTGTAGTGAAATATGATCTTCCAAGGAATTGTGTTCATTATCTTCACAAATATGCATTGAAAGTAAAATTATGTGTTATTTTTGTGTAATACAAAGTTACTTGGTGAAAATGTTTTGCTAATTCAGTCTAAATTAGGAAAGTATAAACAGTAAGCTGAGTGATAGGTTATTAATTTTAAAAGGATTTCAGCATTTTATAATCTTAGTTGTTAGATATGTCAGATTGTTTATTGTAGTAGTTACCTTCATGTAGAATGAGGTAGTTCAGCTGAATATGATGTTTCGCAGTTCACTTAATTTTAATGTGACACCTTTTTTTTTTATGTTGTTTTAACTTGTACATTTAGCCTTGACTAATCACATCCACAATAATGTGTAATGTTCTCTTTCACTGGTGAAATTTATGATTAGTTCCAATTCATGAGATGTTTTAAAATGGTTATCCAAGAAATGAAAGTATTTTACAAAATGGCAAGATTTCCCTATGTTGAAGGTGAGAGAAAGTTTTCTGATAATAGTGAAATTTATGATTAAAATTCCAATTCATTAGAAAGTGTCTGAAGTAATAAAGATATATGTATTTTTACAAAACACTTTGATAACTTATTTTATTGTTTTTATAAATACCTTTGATAACTTAATATGAGAAATAATTTTATACAGTAGCTTAATATGGCATATTCCAAATTTCTATGCTGTTAACAGTCAAAAATTTAATCATGCTATGTTATATTATAGAACAAGACTTTAGAATTCAAATATTATTACATTTAAGAAAAGAAATCATTATTATGCTTTGCCATCCAGATGAATGTGGTGAAAAGCATGACTTGAAATTCTTTTCCATTGGTTTCAAAGCAACAAATTTCACTTTGGAACAGTTGCATAAACCTATTAAGCTTGGCTGAATAACTGAGCTGCAAGATATTTTTAGCTTAACATGCACCGAGTGCCAACATCATGACCACAGGTTTTGAATAGTTTCTTTTTTTTTACTATGAAGATAATATCTGTATGGTACATAAAAGGAATGTTTAAAAGAAACAAATTTAAACTGTTGCTCAAGGAATCTTACAGATAATGAACATAAACACTGGACTTTATATATAGAATTTGTGTCAAGGGAGAGTAAGATATTGATTAGTTGGAAGAAATCTTGTAATGTATCAGCCTGAAACTGTTTGAAAGAATGATAAACAGGACTTTGCTTCTAGTCAGACATGAATACAAAATGTTGAATGAGTCAAGCTTCTTCTAATAATTGGATGCTTAATAAATTATGTAAACATCATTTAGATCAGTGCCTCTTGATTGAAGTTGTTTTAGATGATTTAATTAATATAACTAATCAGGTTTTGACAAGTACAGAGTCATTTTAATAGGTATGTTTTATTAATTTAGATGTCACTACATCATTGTCAGAAGCATATAAAAAAAGAACTAATGCCATTTTAATTTTGGAAAGTTGTTGTTCAAACTTGGATCTTAAGACCCTGTTATGTACTAGATTTCAGCTTTTAACTTTATAAATATTAATATTAATGAAGTTTTGGTGGATGAAATCAAAGTGATAAATTAAATGTATTTAAAAGCATACTTTATGTAAGTAAAAACACACAGTTTAAGTTAGATATTCATATCTGAAAATAAATTATCCCTTTAGGAACATCTGTCTGTTCAATGGAATACAACCTAAGTTACTTTGTGCTTTCAGAAAACTCCATTAAAGCACATTATGTGGTTTCTTAATGGACCTTTAAGCTTTTACAACTGTTTACTGCATATGCTAAAGCATTATTATGAAGTGAGAATATTTTAAAATTACAGTATTGTAGTTTTGACCTTTGTTTGTGAATAAATCAATGCTTTAGAACTAAACTATTTGTTGTATATCTAAAAACATGCACACAGACCAAATTGCATTTAAAATTCCTAAGGAAAACTTAGCAATGAATCTAAGAGTCAACTGGATCAATTGTGTAATTTTCGGTAACAAAGTAAGGTTATGAAATACTGTAAGGTTGGAATCTAATATAGAGATCTGTGGCTTTTTCTATGGATATAGTTGTCACTATGGTTTCCTATCTCCCCGAAGTTAACCACTCAATGTTCTGGTCATGGCTGTCCACTTCTTCCAATGATATTGTGAACATACTCGCTCTGTAGATATAGATGATTTTCTTTTGCCATTTTTGATAAATAAACCTGTCACACCATTATTAAGAAACGTGAATATTTATACAAGAATTACTTTACAGACTGAGAAACTTGTAGATTTCTGTACTTAAACAAGATGTTTGCAAACTTGTAGTACTCTTCTTTTTTTTTTTTCCTTTCTTTTAATCAAACAAAAAATCAAAAACACTTTGGTAATAATTTTTCTACATTGTAACATAATTTTAATGTATATTGTGGCTGACAAAGAAATAGATTATCAAATAAACTGACTGGTTCCTATGAGTACAACATGCAAGTGAAACAAGATCTTTCCAAGATCAATCACAGATTCTATCAATACTCTCAATTTCTTTTTAGAAAACAAACAAATAAAAGTAATATATATGAAGACAAAAAAAGAAATAAATGTTGTCAAATAAAACAAACAGAATTTCCACAGATGTACAACTATTATAAAGAAATGTTTACAAGTTTGGCTAAAAAATCCAAGAATCATCCAATTCAAGATCTTCTAAACGACCAACAGCATTTTCAATACCTCTGTCATCTATCAAATGAACACATAATAATTTAATTACTTGAGAGTTGATTTTTTTTGTTACCTTATATTTGGAACATCCAGATAATCTAGTTTGCCTCTTAGTCTCAATAATTATAAAGATTTTTGTTAGTAGTTAGGCTTATTTTACTTCATGAAACTTGGACAGAGGGCAATGTGTACTTTTGTTTTTTTAATATTCAAAATTTTACCTCATTAATATTTTGTTTTGTTTGATAAGTAAAAGCATACTAAGTTTAATAATGTCTAACAGCTATAAGTTAGAACTAATAAAACTGTCAGAATATATGTATGAAAGGACAGTAAAATAATGGACTGCATAACTTTAAAAAAGTTTCCACAAACTAATCAAAGTATTTCGTCAGCCATTACTACAATAAAAAAAAACAGATCACCCAAAAGCTTATAAGGGTTCTTTCTTGGACTAGTAACACAAAGCCATCAAAATTAGGTATTTTACTTTTAACATGAATAATCATGCTTATTTGACTATTGTGACCGTTTGTTGTTAAATACAAAGCTACACAATGGGCTATCTGTGCTGTGCCCACTACTGCGAGAAGATGCAATATAAACAATTATGGTTACATAATGTAAAATAAATGCACTTTTATAAACTGTTAATGAAAGAATGTGAAGTTAACTTTTACTCCTGATGGCTAGTATCACCATAACCAAGTTTAACTTCATAGAAGATGAAGAACAATAGATAAACAAACATGAAGTTTTTGTAACAGCTATTTGTGAGTTAATAGATTTATATGTTTACAATATTTCATTTAAAACAGTGAAACATGATCAAATCAGTCACTCGAAGTACAAATGTATCCAATCGATCTTGTTTAAGATACTAGCTTCATCTGTATTTCATATTATAAATGTAAAAGTGTTCCTGATCTTTTATTTATGTTAGATTTTAATTCTTTGATTCTTAGTGCTTCCACATTTTCTCTTTGTGTTTTTCTCTACATTTTTGAAGTTTACTTTGTGTTATTCGTGTTCCTTGCATTTTCTTACCTGTTTCTCCTATATACAGAAACTTTTGCAATATAAACATTCTACTGTATACACTGTGCCAGTACTGTGTTTTTCATTATTATAACTTCTATAAAAACTAAGAACTGTGTATTTTAATTCTGGAGATAAGAGAACTTCAACATTAGTTTAAATGTACATGCCAGGAAAAATAATCACCAATAAGTCAGCTAAAAGTAGCCCATTCAGTTACTTTGTGATAATCACTGTATCAGCCTGAGATGATATTCAAGTCAGCTTACACTCTTGTTTCAAGGGAATGTGTTAATATATAATGAGGCTAGCTTACCAATGGGTAGTGGGGGGAACATTAACAATACATAAACAAATTAACTGTCTAGTAGTAAGGGAAAAACAGACATTTAGAAATCTATTTGAACATTATAATGGTGATGAAGAACCATAGTTATGGTGGTAGCTTACCTCGGGGTAGGGAGGGAACATCGACATGTGGAGTCACTGTTGCCAAGAGGTCCAATAGAGTAGTGGATGTCTTTTTACATTGCTTGATAAAAGCATGCTGGGGCAACTGTGAGGTGATGGGTCTATTCAAATTTACATAGTAAGTATTCTGTGTAATTTATTTGGTAGCAGTATGATTTAACAGAAATTGCAACACATATTTAGTGAATCAAGATAAATTGTTTGAATCATATACTTAACACTGTGTCAATTATATTTGTGAAATTTGGCAATAATAACTCTAAAAGTATTAAGTTCCCAATTTCTTATGTTGAAACAAAATAACTAAGAATATATAATGTATGAGTAAAATGAGTGTTATAAAAGACTTATAAAATAAAGTGCTTACAAAATGGGAATACGTGAAAAATGTTGACTGTAAATACACAGGATAAAGAAACTCCATTTGTATGAGATAATTTTAAAAGTTAAAATTGATCTTCTACTATCTATGCAAAAGTAAAATATTTTACACAATGACAGCACAACATTTAGTAATAAAAACAACAACATATTAACACTTATCCAATTATACATCATTTGGAAACAATACTTTGCCTACTCTGTACTTTTTTTATCAGAGAAATAAAATGTACATTTAAACCTAATGCTAACTCTTTTAAATAATATATTAGAAATAAGGTCACGATTACTGTAGCATTATTGATAAATACAACAATTAAATTACTCAAAAAAAGAAATGAATAAATGTTACCTGCGTAAAGGGTCTTTTTCAAGACAGAGGCTGGTAAAGGAATGAAAAGCTTCACTAAACCACCGTGATTTATAAGTGTTTTCAACAGACACATGCTCATTCCCAGTTTCTAAAATGTAAGAGGATTTATATAAAAGTCTAATTCACAAACAGCATAAAAACAACATAAAACTGAGATGCAAACGTACAGATACTTAAAAATGTGAATACATTTTGGAAGTGTCATTAATTTTAAACAATAAGGAATGGAAGTAACACAAAACAAAACTACTACATTGTACGAGTTTTTTATTTTAAATTTACAAGTGTTTTTTTTTAAATAACTTTTACAAAATAGTTTAGCATACTAAACACATCTGTGATGTTTTTCATAGACATGCAAAAAGATACATCATGATAAGAGAGTTATTAACAGTGGTTCTGTGAGCCAGAGATACTATTTAGAGGAGGTTAGAAAAAGTCATCCTGGAAAAAGGTTTTGACCTGGATTTAGCAATAACACAATGTAAAAAACATATTCTGAAAATTTGAAGAAAAAATATTGAGTAGAAGTCGAGATATGATCGATTGAATATATGGAACTCCATAGTACTAAAGTCAATAATAATATATGATTCATACTATGCATTTGCATGATTAAAAGACTTCTTATGCTTTTGTTTAAAATAAAACTCTTTACTTGCTTCATCTCCGGATAATTTGCGTCCTTTATCTGAGCAGAAGTCTGATTTCTGAATTGCATTAATGCTTTCTTCGGTTCGATTTCATAACCAGATTCTGCCACAATCTGACTGATGACCATTCTGAACCGCTTTTGAATACCTCTGATTTTCTTTGAGATAGTTCTGTGCTTCTTATATTTGGATGTCAAAGACAAAATTTTCTGACGAAATTCCATTTTCACTTGGCAAATCAAGGTGTTCAGGATATTTCTGTCATAAGATTTAGAGTATAAGACTCGGTCCAATTTTATTCCGTTTCTCTTCTATGCCTCGCATGTACATTTTGTCTATCTCTGCTTTGAAATGTTCAATGTACCTAGAACCATACACGGTTTCCATAAGCAGGTTGCTTAGCCCACCCAAAACCAAATACTTCTGGTACAAAGCTGGTATAATTATATTGTAAGTCATGAGCATCAGAAGAAATATTTCCACAGATCTTCGTATCAATGAAACAACTGGTCCTTGTTCTATTAGCATTTTGGCATGTCTAATGCTGAAGTTAGTAAGTCATTTTTGGTTCTGGCACCTGAACAGACATGTTGTTCTTTCTTCATCAAGGAGGCAAAAGACCGCTCACATGTCACACATTTTGTTGAATCACCCGAATATTCTCCTAACTCATCTAAAGTAATTCATAATCACTGACTCCGTATCTGCCATCTGTAAATATTATTTCTACCTGCCTGCAATGAAAACACACAGTTTGTTAGCTTTCCACAGAATTCAGTCACATTAACATCCTCAATGAAGTCCCTAGATCCCAGTTCATCAATAATCACATAACTGATATTGTCTCTTTCGTTGTCAGCCTCTTCATTATCACTTGGCTCCATTTCATCATCACATTGACTAGATTGTTCATTGTTCATGGGATCATTTGGCTCTTGTTCATCACCACATTGTCCTGAAGCTGTATTACTGGATACAAACTTCGGCTTATGAGGGTCAGTCATGTCAAGAAAGACTGAATACATTCTTGAAAACGCGTAGAGTTGAATATAATTGTCTTCAAACACAACTTCACTGAATCGACCAAGTTTTGAGAAAACTTTATCTACTGCCTCCAAATAATCGTTCATCAGTTCATATACTTTTTTCGATCTAGATCAAATATTGAAACCACAGTATTTGCCACCCCAGCATTACATTGCAGAGCTTGTTGTAATTCCAATGGTGATATCATGTTATTGCCCATATTCACATATTTAGTAATAAGGTGCATTGCTATTGCAAAGTGTGCATTAATACATCCCATGTCTCTGTATGTACAAAGGATTTCAGTTCAAAACCTTATGCCTTCACCAGAAGCACCATTCCAAATATCAAATATCCATTTTCATAGCATTTTGCATTGTAGGATTAAATGAACAATTGTTTTTACTGCTGAATGGTCTTTTTTCCATTTCATCATGACACCTTCCAATACTGATAAGACTGCCACCCAGTCTTGCTGGGAATCTTCACCTGATATGTCATCATAATATGATATTTGAGTCTTTAATTCACCATCTCCGTCTGACATAGATTCTACTTTCATATACACCATTGTACCATGCCAGCTAAGACCTCTGTTTCCATAATGATCTATAGTTTTCTTCCTGAAGTAAATGGGTTCATATTTCATCTTGTAATCCTTAACGACTAAAGCCTCATCCAATTTCAATTGACAGTGAATTTCGTGAATACACCTGCACTGATTCTCTACTCTAATTCGATGTCCCATATACAATTTCATTTTGCGTCTACAATCTTGAAGTAACATATGATGTTCAGAAGAAATATTCTTAACAAAGTAATGACTTGTCTGGAAGGCCAATTGGCATTCTTCACATTTCTACTCAGAATTGGATTTCCATGACCTAATGCATATTCAATGCAATGTGAAGTAGTATTATCCTTAGCAATATGAGCATTGAAGTCATACTTCAGAATATGCTTGAACTTTGTCAACATCCACATATATTTGTCTTTTACATGAGAGCTTTCAATTGTCACAATTATCCTACTTAATAGTTCCATATTATCGTACAACAAAATTCCAGAAGCATAATCAACAGCTTTTTGAAATTTCTGATCAAATATTGTTAATGCTGTTACCATTTTTCAGAATGATGTATGTGATATTCGATTATCCACAGATGTATATCATCCAATGTAATCATGATAAAGGAACTTGATGACCTTTTGTTTCATAAATCGTGGAAAATCATTCTCTTTTTTCATCTAAGTAAATTTACTTTATACCCTAAGACAAAAGACTCAACTAAGTTCAACAGCTTGTTTGACAACACTGGGATTATATCTTGCCACATAGCAAACTGGATTTAGAAGCTCAAAACCATGCGTGAATCTCTGGTAATGTTGATACACAGTATCAAATGCTTTCCTACCCACTCAAAGAGGTTTTGCTGTTGTCTGTGCCATAGTTTGACATTGAAGCGTCATAACTACTTTTTTCTGAATTGATTTTTCTGGTAAGGCTGCCTGCACTTCTCTCACTGCTTCCCAAAGTTTATCTTTCTTACCACTTCCAGCAATTACTTCACCAACAACATGTAATAATCCATCAGGATATTTTGGTAACATCCTAGAACATAGCACTCCTAAAGCTTTCCTACAAAATGTAACAAACCAAGCTTTTCTTTCCAGATTATTGAACATTGATACATTATGCGCTTGTTCAGATGAAAAATTCGATATGGTCATATATTCTATTACAAAAAAATGTCTGAATAGCATACAAATAAGTTCCTGATAAACAATTTATACCAGCCAATGTTCTTGATCTCTTTGTAGCCATAGTTGATTTGGCGAATACAAGTTTCATGTCTTCATTATCCATACCATCAGAACAATTCCTGTCACTGTTTACTTGCATTATGGGAATTGGATTTTCAATATCACTAAAACTGCTAATGTCATTTGTGTAATCGATGTTATCTTTTTGCCATTGTTGTGCTAACGCTGCTTTCCTCCAGCATTACATCATAATTTGACAACCACATCTACTGCACTTAAAACACGTAGCACAGTGCTTAACTTTACATTTATATTTGAATGGCTCAATTTCTTACTAATCTATGCCTCAGAAGTATGGACAAAAACCTGATAAAGTCCTCAGATCACCCCTTAAGACGAAAAGGGTTGCAATCAAAGTCTTTTTTCCCAGTACAATTCAGCTACAAATTTTAACCAATCAAAAGCAATTACCGAGATGACTTAAAAATTTTGGCTCTGCAAAACCTAGTCTCCCTGGCTGGTGGAACCACTGTTAATATGTGATAAAGTAAATGGTGGTTCTTGTCCAGTACTAAGAGTTTGAAAATTGCCTGAAAGCTTGAAATTTCTTCAAGTACTTTATTGAGGGTTATTACTGAAAATCTTTAGTAATTAAAATCTAGTTTAGCTTTTCACTAGAAACAAAAATCTATGCTTTATCTTGTTATCATTAAATTTCAGTTTATCATTGGTTCTCTAATGTTTTAATCATAAACCTTGCTTTTGACACTTAATTCACTGCAAAATTAAATTTTATTATAAGAAAGACCAAACAAAAATCAAGATTGCTGCAGTACGTTACACAGGAATGTATTATGCCTTATATACTGAAACATACAAATAAATATATTCATAAGTGTACTTGTAAATCTATAGTAGCAGAATACTCAAACAACAGTAATACAGTGATTCAAATCAATGTCTGCTTTAGCAGATAATATACCATAAAGGAACATAGAGTCTAGCATGAGGGAAGATAAGAGACAGAAATAATTTATGGATGACTTCAGAAACAGAGCATTCTTTTCACCAAAGATTGGTTAAGTTTTCATGAAATTAAGAGTAATAATATTAAAAACCTAATTTTAATAGTTATATACATTTGTTTTTAAAGTTACAGAATGAAAAAATGTACCAGTAGGTTCTTCTCCAACATCATAAGACCTAGCATCAAGAGGAACTGGTGGATATCCTTGCAACTTTTCAAGCAACATTTGGGTTGGTGGCATATCAGCATATGGTACCACTCCATTAGCTAGCTCACAACTGCAAACTCCAAGACTGTAGATATCTGACTTGTAATTGTAACCCAATAAATTCTGAAACCATACACAAAGATATTACTTTTAAAGATTTTAAAATGTCCATACCTTCTAATAACAAAACCTAACATATTCTTAAATAATTTGGTCTGTTTCCTGTTCTAGTGAACTAATTAAATTGGTGGGATATTCTTTACAGCTTACATGATTATAATTAACATTGTTTATGATAAAAGCACATTGAAATGGCATTTCTTTTTCAAGAACATGTTTGGTAATTAATGGAGCTTTTTTGTTTCCATTAATTTACATGCATTTGTTTCTTGCACTTGAGGCATCACATTTATTGTACAATAGTGTTTTCTTTTAGTATATATAATGAAGGAATTAAAAAACATTTTATTATACTAAATTAAATGTTACATTTTTAATTACTTATAAGTTAGTAATGAATTATTCTGTACATAAACTTAAGAAATTAATTTTTCAGTAAGTATAAAGAAACTGTTTTAATTCGATTTATTCACTGAGTGGTCACAAGTAAATAAGACACCTAATTTTTCGTCATTTAACTGATTTATGCAAACTAATTTGTGTTCACAGAGCACAATATAAATGAAAATGGTCCGCACTCTAATTA